GGAGGGCAATGAACCAAGGAGTGTGGGCAGAAAACTCCAGAAAACAGATTCTCCTCTAGGGCCTCCAGGTGGGACTCAGCCCCGCTGACGCCTTCATTCCAGGCAGTGAGATCCAGCAGCACTGGGAACCCAATACAGAATCAGATGCGCTTCTCCCAGTCCTTAGGCTGTGCCTGTGCCCTTTCCCTGCTGCCCCCATGGAGGGCACTTTCATTCCGTTAAAATATGTGACCTTCCAAATCTCTTATCTCCAGACCCCACTTAACCAACCCATGTGAGGTCAATGACCCCTGCTACATATAGTCACTTAGCACCAACACCTCTCCCCCTTAGTCCTTGCTATTTGCAATTCTTATCTTTTTCAGTTTACATGGATTGAATATGTACTAAATGCCAAGTACCATGTAAAGAATTTCTCGTGGGTTTTCTTATTCAATTCTCCCAACAACCTTATCAGGTAGACATGACTGTTATGCCCATTTTTTTAAAATAAAAAAGTTGAAAATCACCCCACTAATAAATGGCAGAACCAGGATTAAAACCAGGAGTATGACCAAAGAGTTGGTCCCCTTAACCATGACAACATCTGTCTCCTAAGTGAGAAATACAAGTCCCAAGATCTTGTGCATTTATTAACACAATACCCTTTAGCATACAATTAATAGTTGCTGAATATGAACCAATGGGGCAAAGATAGTTTTCCCCCCTACTATTCTTTTTTTTTAAAGAAAACTTTATTATGAGAAGTCAAATAGATATAAAAGTAAAGTAATGATATAATGATCCCCCAAACACCCATCCCCCAACTTCAATACTTATCAATGTAAGGTCTATCTTAATGCTAATATTTAATCAACTTAATATGATATTATCTGGTAGAAAAGCCCCCTTTTATGTTATTCTTTTTCAGAATCACATGTTCTTAGCTCTCATTACATGTTCATTTATCTGTGTTAAAGCAGATTTTTTTAAAAAATAACCTTGAAATGGTTATTATCTTTCTAAGCAAAACACAAAGCAAGTAAACTGTAAAGAGATTTTATTTTTTCCCCTATATAAAATTAAAATTTTCTACAGAGCGTAAGTACAATAAACAAAGTTTAAAAAAATGGGGAAAACAGTTGTAACATATTATATGGCAAAAATTAGCATTCTCAGTATATAAAGAATTCTTACAAACCAATAAGAAAAAGACCACGACCCAATGGCGGGTTGTCTGGAAAAATGGGTACAGAGATGAACAGTTTCCCCTATTGTTCTTAAGTGACAAAAAGACAAGGACTCCCACCTCACAGTATTTGTCAACATACTTTCTATGGTGCTCTAGAATTTAAGAGCAATAAACACTATAGGACAGAGGAAAAACAATTCTCACCTATAAGCTTGTTTCTTCAAAACTGTGTGATCCTGGAATCGAGCATCATATTAAGTCTGAGAGTCCGAACGGAGGACTGAACAGGCTGAGTGGGGCGACCAGGCTGGCAGGGGGTTTAGTGAGGGATGACCAAACGACTGAACAGCAGGCTACATGGGGCGACCAGGCCAGCAGGGTGTTAGTGAGGGACGACCAAACAACTGAACAGCAGGCTGCGTGGGGCGACCAGGACAGCAGGGTGGGGCAGTTAGGGGCGACCAGGCCGGCGGGGGCGGGGGGCAGTTGGAGGCAACCAGGCAGGCAGA